CTTCATTCTTAACATGTATCTAGTTTGAAAAGTTGTACAGTTTTTCGGTTTTTTAATTCCTTTCTTGTCTCTGTCTCTGTTTTTTGCGTATGGAAATTTTTGAAATACCCTGTGCTGAGAATTCTACATTGTACCAAATATAATATTGAATAAACCCATTAATAATAGTAATAATAATATTGAATAGGTCTTTTTTTCTAAATCTTGGAAGTTAGTGTTGATTGCACATTTATGTTTTTAAGCACACAAAGCCTTTCAACATTCAACAAAAAATAGTGGGAAGTAAAACGCCCATACAAAATAAAGAAGTGAATGAACACTTGAGTTTCAATGTTCTGATATTTGCTTACATGTTTTTGATTAACTAGTAACCAATCAGCCTACAGATTTTCCAATGTACTAAATAAGTTGAGAACTAGACGACGCAATCAAGAACTACAAATCGCCAAAATTAGAACACAAACACACAAATCGTTGCAGAGCACAACTGAAATATTGGCCATCCATACGTTGTATTGAATGACCGTTCGTTTCAGGGGAAAGTCTATTTCAAGGTCACTTCTAGCAAACAAGTTTCCCGGCATTAACGCCAATAACTGGATAACAGCCGGATGTCTGTCTTCTTTGTTCTCTTGATGAGTGTTTGGAGGAAAGTGATTTATGTATTTATCAACCAGTCGAACTAATATTGAGTATTCAACTGTTGTGGACACCAGGGATGTATTCGAGAGGATTAGAAGAACTGGGCACCTAGCATCCTGCAACCAATTCGGAGATGTTACCTGTCCATTTCAGAAGACCTTTTATCGGCATTTTGACGCGTTACGTGGTGCGTGAAAGTAAGTTGAACGATGAAGAGCGGTAAATCTGCTGTCGCTATTTTGTGTATGCTTATTGTTTTGGATACAGAATGAAGCTGAAGACCCATGGTCAGGGTATAAAATTGTAAGTAACTGTTATTATACTACCTTTTCTTCATAACTGTAATTTTACCAACTGTCGTGGTATGATCTCAACCAGTACATAATAGCTTTGTCCTTGTTCTGAAATTCTGCCTTTAGTGAATTAAACAAGAAGTTTAAGGTTACTGTAATGTACAACAGCCTAAATGTTTCAATTTTTTCTGTTCAAATTATATTTTTGGATAACGTCCAGGCAGTTTTAGTTATCGGTACTTCATGGAACACTATCGATTTTGATAAGATTGACAGTAACCCTAGAACTATTTCTCACATAGCAAGTCCCTTTTTTCCTAACAGACCGACAGTGAGGTCTTACTGGACGCACCTGCCGAGCCAATATTTATACTTTGTGTTTCAGGTGATTAATAAAGACAAGTCGTCCAATGTGCATCTGATGCATATTACCATTTTGCTTCAATTTCTTCGCTGCTTGTGTTCTACTTTTGAAAAATAAAAGCACTATATTATATTCAGTAAGTGCCTGCCTATTTTCTATGAAGGCGATAATGGGAGTCGTGACACGTTTAATGAGACTCGTCATATGTTCACTAATAAACCGAGCGAACACACATCCTGGTTCACTTTACTACATAGGGTGCCACTGTGCTGTTAGTATTCTGTCATTTTAACGGAGGCATCGCTTGCATAGCGTAAGTCATTCGAGTTAAAAAAAACTGTGTGATCATGCACACAGATGGTTATGACATGTATAACGCATGTTCAACGCGCGATGATGATATAAGAAATTAGAGAAGTGGAACAGGGCCTTGTAGTACTTTATTAAGTTCTAGCTTCCTTGGGGAAAGTTTGAAATTTATGCTCACTTTCCGTAGACGATCTATTCTTTTTAAAACGGAATCATTAATTTTCAGGTTTTCAAGTCCCCAAAGCAGCCTACAAAACAGTATCCTATCAAATGCTTCGTAGCAGTCAACGTTGATGACATTTATTGATTTATAAATACCAACTAGGTCTACTACTTACTTGGTGTAAGTAGGCTAGTTATGCATGACAACCCTCTCCTGAATCCGTGTTACCCACTGTTTAAGAAACTTTGAGTTGTCACAATGGTTATGACGGCCGTTATGAATCATTCTTTCCAGTATGTCAACTACGTTATTGGTGAAACTGACAGGTCCCTAATTTAATGGAATTCATCCTTATACCGTCGCGCGAGTTGTAGTGACAGCCACATCATCATGGTCCGCATATAACTCCCTCTGGTCGGATGACATACCAAATGTCGTAGTCAGCGGAACAGCGAAGTGATGCTCAGTGTGTCTGTTTTTTAGGGTGAAGCTCATCCGGCATGGTTGATACCTCCCAGTTTAAATAGCTCAGTGCCTTTAGTACGTCGCCGTCATTACGGTTCAAGGCGATCAACAGATTTGTAGAGAATGGTCCTAGTCCTAGTCTTTTGTCGAGAGAAAACTCGTGAATGAATGCCATCCCAAATTAAGCAGTCATTGCTTCTGGTTTGTCGTGACCATTTTCTATTATTCGAAATTTCCTTTTTTCCTCTACCGAACCTGGTTCGTAACTTTCGTGCTTCTTGATTCTCGTTAGTACCAGTTAACTTTCATATTTCGGCCGTGCTGTGGAGATTGTGTTTTTACGGGTACCACGGATCGGCCTTTAAAGTCCATCAAAATTGTTTGCGGAGTTCGAGCATTTTTCATTTACCGTGTTAAACCGCAAACCTTTCACCCAGAACTGATCATACCTTTTTCTAACGACTGTCCAGGGTAAAAGCGGTTGAGTTATGTATATATATCACTACCATAGGAGATTCAATCTTTCATGTACTCATGTGTCGGGTCAATTTTGAAGTCTTCGCTCGAGGACTCAGGGTTGATCGGCTTCATGTTATCTTTTAATAGAACGGGTTGGCGCATTCGCCTGATAAGTTACAGCAGATATAAACTTGAATAACATGACCTCATGGCACTCCTCCTATAAATAGGAGGGGGTTAATTCGATCAACACCAGCTGTGTGTGAAAACTAAGGTCAAAATAGAAGAGTACTATAGGGATTTTCAGTGTGCTGGACTGATGAAGAAACTGATTTTCAGCGACTTGTAGTCAAGCAATGTTTTTGATGATCCTATCTTTAGGTTGGCATACATTATGAACCGAAGTCGACTACTGTAAGGCTTCTTCGCTGTTTGACGAGTATCTCATTTTGCTTAGGAGGAAATCACTTGCTACATACCTAGGACTGCTGTTTGCCATTACTAACCCAGCCAACGCCGCTCCAATCTACAAATCTTTGAGGCGCGTACCATTGTTTCAATAGCTCTCTAAAGTACCTTCCGGATACAGTATGATGTCATTTCATATATGATTCATTCCGTTAGTTCTATGAAGTACTGAACCAAACAGCTGAAGTTCATTATCATATACATCTGATACCGGTCTTTTCTACTACATGATCACCATCAGGGCTTCCTGCATCCACTACTTTCATGAGCTCCGTCACTTTGCTTAGTTGTCTAACTTTAGTTTCATGAAATCCCTTGTAATAACTCCCACAATACTTTGGAAATCGTCCTACCCCTTATTTTGAAAGTGTGAAGATTTTTATGTATGAGGCTTTTCTCATGGCCTCCACAAAGTTTGTTCATTTCTGCTGCTTCAGAGACCACTTGATATGGTCAATCAGGCTGCTGTTAGCACGGACACTGATGTCAGAATCACACACTTCATCTTGATTTTCCAAAAATAGATTTTTCGTACCTTAAGGTAACCCTCGTGCTATTGATAGAAGAAACCAAACAAGTAGTGAATAGGTCTTTGTTTCGATCTTCGCGCAGTCACAGTGGAGTGTGGGATTATTTGTTCAGACAAACAAAGCCTCTCAACATTCAATATAAGATAATAGGAAATATAACGCCTATTCAAGATAAGGAAGTGAATGAATACTTGATCTGTACTGTTTTGGCATATGCTTGGTTGTTTGAGGTCAACTCTTAACCAACCAATCTATGCTGTTACAGATTCCCCTATAAAAAATAACTTTCCGAGACGAGAGCCTGCTGGAAGGATATCTGAATCCACTTTCTAATCTGTCACGTTTAGTAACTATCGATCCTTCTTTGAACACAATCTACATGTAAACGACTTAATGTGACTTCAGATGTGTCTAGGTAGAGCCTTTTAGCATTTTTCAGAAGACTTTCTGCTTGTGAAACATGAATGATCCTCCTGAGAGATTTGCCTCAGTAGGCTCTGAGGTTCCATTCCTTAGAACTAACCTCTCCCCTTCCTGGTAGTCATGTTTGTTAAAGGTTTAAAGGCTTCAATCTACCAATTTAATTTTCTGGAAGTTACTGCCCATCATCGTTGGCTTTATTAGGTTTCTAGGAAAAAATTGTTTACATAGTGCAGATCAAAACCTGATATAGTCTTTGTTGCGTTGACTTTAAGTTCTGAGGTTGTATTCGGCGACATACGCTTTGGGAGCTTCGCATGTTTCACCTTTTTTTCACGAGCTTTAAATCTTTCACTGTAGTTTCATGTTATGGGCAGCTTGTAGTTCATCCACGAAGAATCTTCCGGTCGTGCTTGACAGATAAATCACCTTAAGGGCTGGAATATATACCGTAGAGCAGTATGCTTTAAGCTCTTGACGCAAATGGGGCTTACTAGTAAACCATAGATACTCGACTTTTATTACTCACTTAGGAAACTGAGGCAGTGTCTGACGTCAATAACTTTGATATGTATATATAAGTTAAGACAGAAAATTTAAACCAAATAAACCACCTTAGTATGAAAATTCATCAAAGAAGGAGATTTAGACTGTCCATTCTTAGGTATGGGTTTCATAAGTAGATGAGTAACGGACTGTTGTTACTGTTCAACTCAATATCAGATTTCAGGCTGTTTGTGTGTCAAAGACATCTAGACATTTAAAATGTCTGAAATTCATGATCTGAAGTACGTTTTGCTCACTAGTTTCATATTTAGATGTGCATTGTTTATTGAGAAAGGCCACGAGTGTGGCGCGTATCAGTATTCATCTCGGTACGAAAAGGCATGAACATATTCAGGTTATTGGGGGATTTCTCCCATCTCGTCGCCCTTATAATCCTCCTAAAGAAAATCTGGAAGACTAAGTCATGTGCTGGTAAGATACCTTCTGTCAGTACTCCTGTACTGTCGTATGTACGCCGAAAACAACAAAGTTTTGCATCTTGAATAGTGAAACTTTTGTCATTCTCGTCATTGCAATACTAGTCCTAGTAGGTTCCTTTCACATTATAATAAGATCGCACTGGCTCACTTTCGTTTAGCTAATTAGCTCACTCCCTAGATTATTCCACTGACTTTTGGGAAATCATCAAGATTCCCTTCGATTTGGTCGATTTTTTTTCCAAATATTGGAAATATTAGTGGTTTTTGAATTATTTGGAAAAACGTAAATATTCCTCCAGGCTGGGAGGTCGGTATTATTACACGGGTTACGCCCAATACAAATTCGAGTGCAATTCATTACATCAGCACGTGGTTGGGGCTCCATCCGTTGACTCTTTCAAAAGAAAGTTGGATCAACTGAGACCACCATTGCCAGGACTAGCAAAGGCCACTAAGTATTCTGTCCTTTCTGAACTGAAACTGAAAGGCTTGATTAACCCAAACATGTCAGCCTTGCTACTTACTCTCCGTGTCTTCATGTTATCTTCAAGTGTGTTAATGGCGTAAACGTTCTTGATAGTTAGTTGACATACGTGTTAAATAATTATCAATGCTTCTACACCATAGTGTGAAAGTGTTGGAGAATCAAAGATAATATATAGTGGTATTCTGCTCACAGAAACTACCATTTAGATTCCATCCCATTAACTTTCACTCTTCGCTCTCAATATCTGGATACCTTCTGGTCCAGGTATGTCTTCTATTCCAAATATAGAGGGTCCCTACATAATTCATTCTTAAAACAGCTACCTTATCAAATCATTTTCTGGAATCTAAGAGTATTACATCAATAGCCAGTCCACGATCTTAGTACTTGCATCTGCCCGCTGTTTTTCCCCAACAGCTCATTGGTCACAATAGTGTGTATCAATAGGTAGGAAAGTTTGCAACCTCATGTACATAAAGTACTTTCGTCATAAACTTATCAGTTTCTGAATCCTAGCCAAGTAAACGTTATATTTGTGAAGGTTTTGATAGCAGTGCTAATATGGTGGAGTCGATGTACATATATGCCAGGTTTCATGTTGCATAAGACTGATTCAAGCGTCTTCATACAAATTAAAATAATTGAACTTACTGGTTTGAAGTCAGCTGCCATAAACTCTGATGAAATTAAGATTTTCATCATTATTCAGACTGAGGATTTTCACGTGGCACAAGTGGCTTAACTTTAGTGGTATCACCTTGCGTACTTCCTTAAATCTGTTATGCCTCTTGGGAAATAAGCCGCCGACCTGGAACCAACGAAGTCTGTCATAGGCTGTATCGAAATCAGAAGAAGTATAAAAGGCGGTGGCTGAAGGTAGCACAAAACAGCTCTTCAGACTGGTAAAAGAAACTGGAACGAAAAAGTCGGGTGTAAGCGAGATGATCTCGGAAAAAGACGACACTAATGTGTGCTCTCAGCCCAGACGTTCAGAAAGATGGACGGAACACTTTAGGCAATGGTTTACCTTGCCTTCAGCTACTCTATCAGATATGGCTCAAAATAGAAGCCAGTGGTGATCCTGCTGTAACCTTATTTTACTTCATAAAAAGTGGTTGTGTCTCCCTTAACTGAAAGACTTCTTCTGATTGTACCTTTCCGTTCCCTCATTATTACTATTATTACTACACTGCCTTAAACCAATCTCTTCGTTATTGTTCTCTTTTATTTTCTATTTCTCTTCGAATTCTCATTGTTTTGTGTGGCGCATATATATTGGCCCTCTCTTGTGCCAATATTAATGTGTTCAAATAAATAAATAAAATCAGCTACTCTACATCTACCCACCATTCCCAGACACTCTGAATGGAACATTGAAGTAGGTCCTTCGACTCTAGCTGCAGTTTAACAGGCTATAGCTAATCCGAAACGAGGAAGAGCTGCTAGTCCCGATAGATTGGTTACAGATGCCCTTAAGTATAATGATCCAGTTTTAGCGATTAGGTTAACTAATATTTTAGCTAAGATCTGGGAGTCAGACGTTATCCCATCTGACTGGTCGCAATCACTTATCGTCCCAATATATAAGAAAGGGTCAAAATCATCCTGTGACAACCACAGAGGGATTAGTTTAACAAATATAGTATCTAAAATACTAGCCTCGATAATTGTCAGACGCCTAACTAAGACTTGTGAACTGCAAACACGAGAGAACCAAGCTGGCTTCAGACCTGGTTGTAGCTGCACTGACCACATATTCACCATTCGTCAGGTTCTAGGACATAGGCATACTTATCGGCGTCCGACAATGGTGGTCTTTCTTGACTTGAAAGCAGTATTTGACTCCGTAGACCGAGAGATTCTGTGGCAGTGTCTCATTGAAAGGCGTACCACAGAAGTACATAAACCTTCTAAAGGCTCTTTACTCGAACACTACTAGTCGAGTCAGAGCTTATAGCGAACTGTTATCTGATTTTGCGACCTCAAGTGGTGTCTGTCAAGACTGTCCACTATCTCCATTCTTGTTTAACTTCACTATAAACCTACTGATGGAAATAACGCTGTCGTCGACTGGGTTTTCGGGCGTTGATCTCCTACCAGGAGGTTTACTTATAGACTTAGAATACGCAGATGATATAGTCCTGTTTGGTGAAGACGCTGATAAATTGCAGTCTTTTAGTAGCACTAAGTAACAATGCCAGAATGTTTGGGATACGCTTCTCCCTTTCTTAAATGCGAGTTGTTGCTTCAGGACTGGCCTGAGTCAACACCTGAACTAAGGATAGGGAGTGAAGTAGTCGAACGCGTCGACAACTTCACTTATCAGTATAGCGGTTGTAGAGATTATTAAGTTTTCATTTGAGATTATGAACTGATCGATGTTAGACCACCATAGAAAATTTAGAAGTGCCAGACGGTCGTTTCGTCCTACCATGGGACTCCTCAGCAGCACGCATCCACGATCCCGTTTGCGGGGTTCGAACCCAGGGCCTTCGTGAATTGGTTGAGGTTAGATAATAACACCATCCGTAGTGTCGCAATTCGGTCTGTGCACGACCGGTTTTTACGCAATCCAGCTTGTTGATCTTGAAGTTGAGCGTCCTGCGATATCTAAACTTATCTACAAACCATTTTGAAAGGATTAAGTGTTTTCATGTCTTTGTGAATGAAATCTAGTCATTAAGGTAATGTCCGCAAATAGTTGTCGGTTTTCTATGTGAGCTATTTTGTTGATTTATGTAACCTTTTCAATATACTTCACTTGGATTACTTGTATCCACTTTGTAGGACTTTCAGGAAAATCTCAACTTCTTTTTGCGGTTGTGTTTATATCACGTTACGTGGATTTGTTTTTCAATTTCATTTCACTGTATAACACCATCATGAAGCTTTTCTTTATCATTTGCTCTTGTGCGACCGTCTACTTCATGTATTTCAAATTCAAGGCTACCTACGATTCTAATCATGATACATTTGCTGTGTATTTGTTGCTGATCCCCAGTCTGCTTCTAGGATTAGTGGCCAATTACGAATTTTCTTTATATGAGGTAAGGCCTTCAATACAGATTTTTCGATTTTCACTTTGATAATTTGGCTGAAACAAACAATTTACAGTTAGGTATTGTAATGGTGCATCAGATTAGATTGGCTCACACCAAACAATCCAAAACAACCAGCTTTTATAACGACACTGATTAGGTAAAACAAGAAGCAAAACCAAAATGAGACTGAGTACGTAACTCTGGAATTGTAATTCTATTGTCCAAATTAATTTTAGAGGTAATCCATCCTCATCACTATAACTGATTAAAGTCTATGTCACTTAAGGTCTCCAGCTGATGAATTATATTATATATGAACATAAAGCCTGATGTTTCTTACACGTTTGAGATAACTTTTAAGGTACCTCTAGGATTAATCTTGTACTCTCGATAAATTACTTATATTTTCATAACAAAGCCAACTTTTCATGTTTGGGTAGGAAGTAGATAAACATATAGTACATCCTTCTGTTTTTTTTAATCGAACCGTCATTAGTGGTGAACATAAGATGAGTGTTTGGCTTCCATAGTTTTTCGAATACTGAAGCACATACGAACAGAGAATATTCCTTTCCATAAAGCCTCATAGGGTTCCACAGTTATAAGCGCAAGTGTAGCATTGGCTCAACGATTAAGGCGTCCGACTTCTAGAAACTAAGTCGCAGGATCGAACCCCACCCCATCTGCTTCGGTTCGGTCAACCAGGTAGCATCAATAGTTCTCACACTTTGTTGCTCATATTCAAATACCTAATAAATGATATATTATTTTCCATGACCCCAATAGGTTCATAAAATGCATGTCTGATTTAAGGTAAATACACCTTTTGAAATGTGTAATAGGAATTGAGGATTTTCGGTAAAGTGAAATGGTTATCACTTGTAAACGTTGAAACGAAAAGAATCCAATGTATACCAGTCAATTCGTAGGTCTATCGAAACTTATTAAAATTTAGAAATATATATATATATATATATATATATATATATATATAATAGTGACCGAGATATAGTGATGTGATAACCAATCAAATTCAAACTATAGTGAAGGATTACTCAATACATACAATTTTATGGATTCAATGAGAAATAAAAAGTAGAATGAGCCCTAAACAAATCGTTTGACAGATATCAAGATTATCATCCGAATAACAAAATGCAATTTCTGTTGCTATGTTTTCTTTTTGGTGTGTTTCATAACTAACTCTTTAGTGTGAATTGTTTTACACTATCCTTGTTAAGTCCGATTACTAGATCTTGAAGTATTAATCAATCATTTGTATGGTATATTGCATACAATGGCAACATCTATGTAATACTTGTTTTATTTCTCATTTATGCCAATAACGCCGTGAATTTTAAATCTAGTAATAGGATGTATTCAGTCAGTTCTTATTCTCATTTTTAGTTGTCATATGCATGCTGTTAAGCAAGTACCTTAGTTTGTATATTCATATATAAAGAAGTCTACAATACCATCATAATTAAAGCCTAATCTCTTAATAATTAGGATCTTTCTAATACAAAGTTTGAGGAATAGGTTTGTGTTTAATGAACAATACAATGAATGGAGAAAGGTATAATAACAGTTAAGGGGTCAAATGGAACCTTCTAATTAAAATACTGTAGATCAATTACTTGACAAATGTGCATCAAAAATATGTATTCTGATTCACTGGAAAATAGCTTCTGATTTTCATTTTTTTTTCTTTGCTTGGAACTGCTCAGTCTCTTTAACTTTTTCGAGATTATGCAAACCTTTTTAATACATGATTTGGATAGGTTTTACATATACTGTCCTAGAAACCGACTCGAGGATTATTCTAACTAAACATGTGTGAGGAGTTTATAAAGTGACACTGCAAGTCAATAAGTAATTCACTCATTCACTAGGTACTTGAATACAAGTATCAGGGCTAATTATACTACGTGGATGACCAGATTGAAGTATACAGATTGGGATTCGAGTCTGGGATTTGGTGTCCGAAAGTCGAACACATTGAATATTAAACCACCACTCCGATTCGCGGAAAACACTAATTTTAATAGCGTAAGAAAACAATCCATAAGATTGCCAAACCAATTCATGATAACTTGTTATACAGTAGCCATTGAGCCAAGCAAAGTGAAGCTTCATGATCAACTGGTTAGCAAGTTTAAAACATAGATCAACCTAAACCTTAGGTCAATAAGTTGTGGATCGGTTTGCAAAGTAAGGTATCATAGCTTCGTTTGATTCTTCAGAAAACGTCGACGGACATTTCCAGAGATCTTTTGCAAAGAACTGAGTGATTTCCTCACGAGGATTCACATAAAACGAGTCACATACAGATAGATATCAACGAATCGCGAACTTTAGCTTCAACTTTTAAATTTAAATTTTCCGTTAAACGTGGAGTTACAGACAGTAAAGCACAGTTTATCTATTTTCGTCTCCAGACATTTCATTTCGTTTCTATAAACAATAGGAAGTGTTGATTGAAGTAGACAGGCAACTCAATATTCAATGTTCTGAGATTCGGGCCCACCATTTTGTGCTTCCTCCGTAATTCAAATATCACTAACATGAAATATATATTTAGATTACCTGAGTTCCTCTCGAAACCCAGCTTTTGATTTATTTTTACTAATTTATCACTAAAAGCATTAACTTTTGTTGGTTTGATTACTGAAGAATTTTCCATTATTAAGTCATTTTTGAATGGTAAATGGGTTATCATCATGATTTCTTTAATCATGTGTCTCTTATTGTACATACCGGATGTTATTTCAAGTTTTCTTTACCCATTCCTTCTATAATATGTCATTTTTTGTATTTCCCTTGACTACTCAAAGGTACTGTGGGCTTTCTCAATTTACTTGGAATCGGTTGCTATTATGCCTCAGTTGTTTATGATTAGCAAAACTGGCGAAGCTGAAACAATCACTTCTCACTACTTATTTGCGTTAGGATCGTACCGTGCGTTGTATTTGTTCAACTGGATATACCGTTATGTTTTTGATGATTATCTCGACTATATTGCTGTTGTTGCGGGTATTGTACAAACATTATTATACTGTGACTTCTTCTATTTGTATATAGCTAAAGGTAAATTATATATTTGATTTCGCGTATGTTTTTAAATGACTGGAGGTAATTTTTAGCGTATTTTATCCACTAGTTAACATAACTGCTCCTATGCAACATGTCTACACTCATGTTGTTATTCGACTCGTTCGTTTACTGTTTCTAGTAACCTCTAGTATTTCAGTGAAAAATCTATTTTGGAAACAATGTTCTGACTAACAATTAAGATATGAGTAAATGGTTAGCCACTACCCACCGCTTGGGTACTATGACTATTTCAATCGGTCTTCTTCACTTTTCAGATGCGTTAGTGACGTCTTAGAATTCATTTTAATGTTCATGGTAAAGATTTCATATACATGGTTTGCCCGACATTTTATTGACTAATGGTTTGTTTCCTGATTATGTCTTAAAGTTATGTTTGATTAAAATAGAACTAGATACTCCAAGATACAAGGATGAAAGGTCATTTCTTTATATCCTTATTCTAATATATGCTGTTTCAAGGCTCGGGAAAAGCCACTATTAGTACATAAAATTGCTGTCACTATAAGTCTTTGGACGCCGAAATACTCAAATTCTTGGTTGAAAATTGTTGGTTTAACTTTTCATACTCTGTTCGCTTCACAAAATTACGTTAAAATCTTCCAGAGATTCTATAAAACATTCGTCAATTAAGGTCTAAACTTTTATATTAGGTATAACTTGTTCTTCATGATAGCCAATTTGACGATAAAACGAACTTTGCTGTTTAAACTACGTATAAGAGCCTTATTATTCACAACTTGAATGGAGATATTTAGCTCGTGTTATGTTAATCAAAAATGCATTACTAGAAACTGCTCCTTAGTATGGTCCGTTTACGCCCTATATATAGAATTCGTCATTAATTACGATCTAACTGTACAGAACTAATGACTAATTCCACTAACAACCAACGTCACCTAATTAACTAACGTATCTCTTTCTTTTGTTTACAGTTATGAAAGGACGTGACTTACGACTACCTGCCTGATCTCTACTAATTTCCAATATTTATATTTTTGACTTTATGATGTTTTTGCTTTGTTTCTCTATAGTTGTGTTATAAAATAAAATGGTCTTATGCATCATATATTTCTGCTTACGATTCTTTGTTATGACGAAACTAATAATTAAAAGAATACTTGGACGACTGGTGATTGACATACATTTAATTACGGCGATCAAACAGTTTACTCCTTTTGGAGTCGATTTATTTATTTGAACACCTAAATATTGGTACAAAGATGCACCAAATACATATGCGCCATACAATAACAATGAGAATGTGAAGGGATGAGAAAAAAGAGGACAATAACGATCAGAAATTAGTGTGTGACAGTGAAATAATAATGGGAGAGGCAGTTCATTTAGCAAAGGTACAACCAGAAAGAATTCGTCCGGTTAAAGAAACTACGTTCAATTTTCTGAAGTTACAACAGGATCGCCACTGGCTTTTGTTCTGAGCCGTATCTGATAACGTCTCAAGCCACTGTGTTACATCATCTTTAGGACATCAACCAGGGAGTCGTGAGGGAACAAAAGAAGCCAGTCCTGTACAGCTTTCTTTCATACCACGACAGCATGTCATACACTGACCACCTCTCCGCTTTTTCCAACCAGTCCCAGCGTCGGTAAATAATGCACGACGTGGAATTCTCTGAGACAACATTCATAAAATATATCCAAGCCACCGAAGTCGATGTTTCAAGAAAGTAACACTAATTGAATTATTGTCGCTGTGCCCGAACACATGATGCTGAACCTTTGCATTACTAACATGGTATTGCCATGACGTCAGCAATCCTTCGAGGACAACGATGATCAAACAGAGTCGACCTGAATGGCAAGTTGATGTAAGTCCTCCAAATCTTCACGAAGTTGAAAAAGCTATAGGGAATCTGAATCGAAGGAGAGCAGCAGGCCATGATAGGTCTACCTCTGGAGGCAGGGAGACACCAATTTTTATTTTAATAAACAGATGTTGGCACAAGGAGGCACCAAATACATATGCGCTACACAAATCTAATTTGATATGTGTGAGGGCTGTGATACTGCCCGGGCAGGTGGTATTCTTAGGGGGTCACTCCCGGAGCCTTCGACCCGAGGGTCTGACCACAAGGCAGTGGAGCGTCGTATGGAGATGCAGTCCCATGGTAGCCGGTGACCAACGATTAGTTCGTACGCCATTCGTCTACCCCTAGGATTTTTAAGAATGGCGGTCCAGTATTAGCAGTGGGATTGACTGGGGTCTTGGGTAAAATTTGGGAACTGGACAAAATCCCATCTGACTGGTCTCAATCACTGATTGTGTCAGTCTATAAGGAAGGACAAAAGTCTTCTTGTGACAATCACAGAGGAATCAGTTTGACTAATATAGTGTCTAAAATATTCGCTTCAATAACACTTCGACGCCTAACTAAAGCTCGTGAAGAGCAGACTAGAGAAAATCAGGCTGGTTTTCGACCTGGACTTGGTTGTATAGATCAGATACTCGCACTACGTCAGGTTCTAGAACACAGATACAAATTCAGATGCCCCACAATCGTAGTATTTCTCGACCTTAAGGCAGCATTCGACTCTGTTGATCGTGAGGTTCTATGGCAGTGTTTGTCATTGACAGGAGTACCAAAGAAGTACATTAACCGTATAAAGGCTCTCTACTCGAACACAAATGGTCGAGTGAGAGCTTATGGCGAACTGTCATCAGAATTGATTACCTCAAGTGGTGTTCGTCAGGGCTGTCCACTCTCTCCATTCTTGTTCAACTTTGTCGTTAACGTGCTTTTAGAGATGAAACTTTCCTCGTCTAGATTTCCAGGGGTTGAACTTCTACCGGGAGGTTCACTTATTGGCTTGGAATATGCTGATGATATAGCTTTATTTGTTAGAGACGCTGACAAATTGCAGTCTTCTGACCACTCTAAGCATGTTCGGGATGCGATACTCCCCCTCGAAATGCAAAATGTTGCTTCAGGATTGGCTTGCATTGACACCCGAACTAATCATAGGGAGTGAAGTAATTGAGCATGTCGATCGCTTCACTTATCTTGGAAGTCTCATCAGCCTTTGTGGTCTGGTGTGTGACGAAATCTCAGCACGGATACAGAAGGCTCGACTAGCTTTTACCAACTTGCGTCATTTATGGCGTAGGCGAGATATCCGTCTATCAACCAAAGGGAGGGTTTACTGCGCAGCAGTTCGTTCCGTCCTACTTTATGGTGGTGAAACGTGGCCGGTAAGAGTAGAGGATATCCGTAGGTTACTAGTATTCGATCATAGGTGTCTTCGAAACATTGCTCGTATATCCTGGGACCATCGGGTAAGTAACGCAGTTGTTAGGAAACGGGTACTAGGTAGGGATGGCAAATCGATTGAAGTGGTGAAACGTCATCAGTTGAGATGGCTGAGATACGTGTTACTTATGCCCAACCACCGACTGCCTCGATGTATGGTGTTTTGTTGTAAAGGAGTAGATTGGAAGAAAGCTAGGGTTGGCCAGACCAAAACATGGCACAAGTTCACGAAGTTACTGACAAGTAGACTGAGCCATGTTCGTAGGTGTAGACTACCTGGTTGGGGTCTGAGAGACGATAGCAACCGATGGTTAGAGACTGTTGTAACGGGTTTACTGCAGATTTAATGCGCAGCGTATTTATCGGTCGGATCAATGACACGGAAACACGTACGAACGACCTAGAGCCCTGATTGGCCCTGCTTCGCTGTCTAACCCAGCCAGTTGAGTCCAGAACACAAGTCACAGCCTCTGAGATATGAATCGTTATATTTCAAACATACTCTTTATATTACCAATCAAACAGACCACATCATACCATAAGATAGAAAACAACATTTGTACAATATTTAACGAGCGAAAGAAATATCGACCAGTAGGGAATGTCCATTTAACGTCCAAGGACACCATTAGACTTAACATGATAATTATTGGTACATTTTTCCGAATATCCTAACAGAGACCCTGAATTACATGGCTCAAAATTGTTTGCAATGGCGCAGTTGCATCCACTCTTTGTGTTCCCTCAAATTCTAATCTAAATTATTCGTGTTACTTTATCTTTCCAAATTTATTTCAGTGGATTAAAGTCCTTGAATAATCTTTCTGATTACTGTTTATACTTTTATTACCCCTACCACTATGGGGTTTGAATCGACAACTGCATCTCTGTGGTAATGCGGTATGGCGACTCGAACTGATGTACGTACGTACGAAGTTCTATGTTGTTGCTGACCGACTGATAACTTCTGATAATCTCACCAACCATTTTGCTGTTGAATGGTATAGTGAGTTTGACATGCCTATAATTGAACGTAAACGAACCTCTAGTTTGTGAATCGTGGGTAAGTCATGGAGTCGAGGGGGATGTGTTCCGGAAGGCTTGAGCCCAATATAGGCATTCTCAGAGATGTATTGATATCGTTTTAAAGGTTTTAATGTCGTGGTTAACTGACGTTCGATCTTTTCATCAAGTTCTTTACATGACTCATGCGTTTGGAATTTAATTTGATCACGCAGAAGGGTATTCATTTTGTCTATGTAATTAGTCCTGTTCATAACTACATTGACGCCAAGTTACATGTAATCTTCTCTACCAAACCAGCACTTACATAAGTCATGAATAGGTTTCCAAAGACAAGCTCCTCCATGTGTGTATACCCATTCATCTGTCGCAATGAAGCTAGTAGCATAGCTTGTATCCACAGGGGTTTATCCTTGTGTGCTTGTAAATATATGTGGTCTATGCTAATTATTTTTCCTGTTATAAGTAGTATGTAGCATCTATCGGAACTGGAATGCATGCCATTAAAATTTTGAAAAGTTTCGATTGAGAAGGGAGAGAAAAAATATTGTAGTTCTAGTAACAACATAATTGAAAGAATCATGAAGCATGTAAAGGATAACTGATATAACATCTGAAAATGGTGTATTTAATATATGGTTTTCATATATTACAAAAGCAGTATGTAATTTGGCTTTGACAGTACATTGGTCTTCCCCACCTAAGAGCTCGTTCATGAAACATGTATCAGCATGTTTGGGAAAAGGAGTCACTATATCTAATAGCACCATTCTCTTCCACTTAGTAGATGGTGAAGATCAGATTAAAATAGATGAATCTATCTCTTAATATCAAGTTCCAAACAATCTACCTGAAGGTATTAGATTATGGCTTATCTACATAGATGAAGCCATCTGGATCAACTCCAGAGAAACGAACTTATAAATCCAGAAGCGGTATATCCAACCTATATGTCTACCTTAGTCCACGACCGGATCACCAGATACCTGGACTGGATATTGTAAATCTTTTATTCCCCTCCCATTTTATTTTGTGTTCCTATCTTTCTTAATCTACGCATTCGTCTTTCCCAATCCACATGAATTTCTTTTACAATAGTTACCTTTACAACGCCTCTCTTTCTACATATTTTATTCGAACGACATTATTATTATTATTATTATTATTATTATTATTATTATTATTATTATTATTACCTAGATTTACAAGACGAAATTCCACTATTATTCATTTTATCTATATGATTTAATATTTCGCTATTATATTGATTATAAAGCCATTAGTCACATTGATAAGTTTCGATAGTGTAATAAGACGAAGGTTATCAGAACGATGTGATATGCTAGCGCAATATTTATCAATGCTCTTAACAATTTATGTGTGATCAGATTGTTCGAAATGTATTGTTCTAATATATCACATAGTTCTGATAATCTTCGTCTTCTTATTACACTTTCGAAATATTGATTATAACTTGATACTACTACAAATTATTCTGACCTTTATTAAATGACCTTTCAAATTTACAAATAACACAAGTTTGAAGAATGTCATATCGGATTCAAAAGTTCACCATTTCCAACATATCGTCAAATTCACTAATGTATGACTTATTTTGGCCTTGTAAAATATAACAATAATTATGGACCGATAAATGTAGAGCCTGATAATTAGG